TGCCTCACGTTTTTTGAACAGGAAGGACAACTAGAGCGTGTGACATTTTTCATACCACAGGTATAGCAATAAACAGCCTTAGGAGCTCTACAATCTCGAACAGAATGTCCTAGTTTTTCGCAGTTCCAACATACAGGAGCTTTTCTGTGAGATTATTGAGTACTATCAGAAGTAACCAAGCTGGAAGTGGAAAGTCTATTGTGGGGTTGACAAGTCAAGAAGGAATCCTCTAATTTCCTACAAAGTGATGTTAGTTCAGGAAAAGTGGAAATTTCATGAAGAGCAAGTGACTTTATGAAGTCAGGCAATAAATTTCTACGGACAATATTGACCATGTCCTTTTCTGTAAATGTATTGTAGGTTAATCTATTGAATTGAGATTCCATGAACGAAATGAAGATAGTAACATGTTCATGCTGACCTTGTTTGCGTCTACGAATCTCATCAATTAGGTTCATATCATAATTGTCACGTAGAAAAGCATCCTTGAGTTGTTTAATCAAGTCCTGCCAATCATGAAAGCTATTTCTTAGATGGCCATTATGCCACCATGTCCAGGCTACATCTTCAAAGAGATCACCTGCAGATGCAAAGAGATCCATCTCATTGCAACCACGGGAAGACATTAGAGATTCGACAATTTCTAGAAATTCAATAACTGAGCTATTTCCAGAAAATGTTTTGATTCCCCATTTGAACACTGGTATCTTTTATGTGGAGCAAAATTTATAGGATAGAGTGGCTGTGTATGTACTAGAGGGAATACTTGAGGATTAGCAACAGTCACAGGCGGATTTGATGCCAATGGAATAGGACGAGATGAAACTGATGGAGGAGAGATTGAGCAGATGGCATCTCAAGCTTCTCTAAAAGATCAGATTCACACACAACAAGTTGTGTCTTCAATCTAGATTTTGTACTTATCTCCTCATCGCAAGTAGAGACATTCGATCTATCCTACCAGATAGATGCAATAAGCGCACACAAATTCTGCGATGTTCAACAGAATCAAATGCACCAGCAAATCTAGAGATCATCTCAGTGAGTTTATTGAAGGAGAGTCTTATCTCAGTCTCATCCTCACCAAAAAATTATTTTATATCTCACATACATTAAAAAAAGTACAGAGACGTTCAAGTCCTGTTAATCCAATGGAAAATCAGATACTAATGTTCTAATTTCCCCCAAAGAATATGCCAGATAAAACTATGAAACCATAAAAATTATGAAAACTTATGCTCCAAACAAGAGACAAAATTACTACAATAGTTACTTAGGAACGTATACTATTTCAACAACAAGTTGAAATTTAATTATCATAAATGAGAATGTGTGTCTTTGTATAGGTAAAAATGATTTAGGAGTCACCCCCCATTGAAAAGTAGCAAAAATATAGTCAAGAAAAACATCATTTGTTTCTTGAAAAAAAAAAGGTAAGTATCAACGCACTATGTCCAAGTGTCAATAATTGAAAAAAAAGTAAACCGCCAAAATATACGAAAAATTATGAATATCAATTTCATACAATTCAGACAAATGGATAAATCGCAAAATGATTTACTCCAGATAACTCTAGTCAGTAGATTATTGCCATCAGAATGAAAACAAATGATCAAAAGTTCAAGTACAGTCAAAAATTCAAAAAGTAAAGACATTTGGGGAAGGCAAAAATAATTTTGAAAGTAAATTTCCTACGTACCAAACATCATGAGAGCTATATCAGTACACCAGAGATCCAACAATTAGGCTATATATGCATACATGAAAAGTCTCAAGAAATCAAAAAACTGCACATGAAGAAATACTTTCAAAAACTAAGAGGCTGGTGATCAAAAATGAAAAGCATATAAGAATATATATATACTATCAACAACAATAGTCACAACCTCAATCAAAAGTTTGATGATATTCGACAAAATGCTGGAAAACCTAAAGTCCCCAGACTATCAATATTCAACAAAAAATTATCAAAATATCATCGATCTCAAAACTATAATGAGAAAAAAAGTTATCTGTCCCCAGCAGTAAATAAAAACTATAGTAGTATGTGAAAAAAAAATTCTGGCAATGATCTCGCTGACTACTAAACAAGACAATTTTAAAAGTTAATAGAGCATAGTACGCCTATGAAATAAACAGGTGGAAAAATTTTAATCTTTTGATAAAAATTTTAAACATTAAGCAAAAAGTAAGGATGATTAAAGAATTAGAAATTTGAGTACCAAAAGTAATTAAAAATAGAAATGCTGCCAAGAATTGTAAAGAATTTTGAAAACTATGTTCTGTCTGCCAATCTTCCACTAGCAAACCACTTGTCGACAAAGCCAAACACCAATCGAAGCCTCACGTTGCGGGTGCCAATTTATGTAAGCCTTCCTTTCCGCAAAAAGGCCAGAAAAGGTGGAATACAATGAAGATTCCAACTTTTCTGCACAATCACAGAAAGGGGGTTACCATTAGCTTCCGGTAGCTCAGTCGGTGGCATGAAGACATCTACAGGAGTGTAGCTGTGTGTCGACCATGGCATGGCTAGAGGATAGAAGAACAAAGAGAACACAAAAATTTAACAGATTTTATTTAACAAAAAAGCATTTTCATTACATTACAATTTTAAAGAACAAAATAAGTTTTAAATCTTTGGCGCTGCTATAAAACTATACACTTATCTTTCGCTGGTCCATTTTGACTGGACTGAAGCGAGGATGGCCAGGTGCTTGAAGTGGAGGCCCCAGTTATGAGGGGTGACCTCACATTTAGTGGCTTCAAAACCAGTTGTAGGCGAAGTTGAACTTAAAGGTGATGGCGCTGCCAAGGCACATGCATGGGTGAAGTGATAGGCCAAGCAATGCAAAGTCAAAGACTACATGAGTTGCAAAGGCAAAAGTCAAAGACAAAGGGAAAGGGAAAGGGAAAGGGGGTGGCCCCAATCTGGAAAAGAACCGTGTGCATTAGCAACGTGTCCTAATGGCCAAGGCATTTCCAATCTCAGTCTGCCTCAAAAGAGAACCAACGATTTTCTAGGTTAGAATTACATTACATAGTTTGATAAAATCAAACCGAAAATTGGAAATGCCTTTCATAAAATAAAATCATGAAATAGCAAAAAAAAGCGTAAAACAAGATGGTGGTCATCAAAAATTTCTCCACATGCTTCTGATATAAAAACACAAATATCGAATATTCATAATCAACGTACTCATAATTTCACTGAACTATGATGAATACATATACGCAAACAGAGTTAAAATCGATGTGGATCGATTTCTACCTCGATTTGATTAAAGTTATGGCGAATGATCGAAGTAGTCGAAAATGACGTTCGATGGATATTTTAAAATCGTACAAGAAATAAACCACTTACATATCGACTATCTATAAACTACAGGCAGACCCAGCAATAAAACTGTATAGTATTATAAAACTCACCATTTCGTCCTATTCGGACACACATTCTACAAAATTCTAGCACATGGTGCTATATGACCTCATGCTACAGAGAACAAAATTCTTAGCTCTTGCTAGATCGGCGGCTCAAGTGAAAAAGAAGCGCGAGGAAGATCGCAGATCAGGAACTCCGCATCAAGCGCGCTCCAAGCGGGAATGTTTCCAAGTAAAAAAGCTAGAGATGAAATGATAATCGAGAAGTGATTTAATAAATACGATCGGACGGTGAAACCGTTACACAACAAAAAGCAAATTACCG